CAAACTGTAGGGGTGACCTTCTACATAATGATATTTGGATGAAGGAAGGAAGCAACTGATCTTGTTGAATGCATGACGAGCATTGATTTATTATGTAAAATATGTGTTTTTATATAGCTAATACAATGACGTAATATGATGCATACGTGATTAAAGTAGGTTATGCTTGCTCTGCAGATATACAAAATTACAGACGTGACTCGTACATATTGCCAATTTAAAAAGAAAAGAAAAACAAACAACAATACAATGATAGAAATGTAAAACATGTAAAAGTGTATAATTATATAATGTCAAAATATCCAAACAAACTATACATTTAATTGATCTACCTTATGTAGAACTCCAAATTTGACAAATAGGCATTTATTCAACTTGATTTGATTCTGATAAGATTTTGTATGTGTATACAAACCAAAATTATGTGTCCTAAAAGCCATTTATTTGCATGATGCATAAGCCTGTGCTGGCTCGAAGGTGCTCCCTTTTCTAGTCCTCATGATAGTGTTTACTGAATTAATAATCTACAATTATTCGATTTTATCATTTACCTAAATAATCTTTAGGAATAAAATTATGTATGAAATTATAAAATATATTTTGATTTAACTTAAATGCAGTTCACTTTGTTTTAGAAACATTTTAAATAATAAACTCATTGATTTCGACTCTAACAACATCCTTTCACATTTTAAAAACACAAAGATATACAATTTTGATACAAAATTATTTTACAAATAGTGTTCACAACCACAATTACTAAGAAAGTAGCTTTTTACCTATTTATGCCTTCAAAGAAAACTTATAACTAAAGATCTAAACAGTCGTTATTACAGCTGTAATTAAATTTGATTTCATAATAGTTACATTGACTCCAGCACATGATTGATGATCTAGCACCTTACCCATACGAATGTGACACACATTATTGTTACTTGCACATACTCTTCCTACTTGCTATGCATTTTTTTTTTACAAATTAATCTCTGTTTGCTCAACTCGGGTTTTGTTTGATAAATCTTGACCTAAAATTATTAAATAGAAATAACAGCATATATTTGCTGATTAATTGATAGACATTATTATGAAACATTATTTTTATGTCTGTTGCATTCTTGATAATATGATAGCAATGTTATGACTTATGCTAAAAACTTAGACCACATTTTCCGAACCTTACTTGCTTGTTGCAAAATGATCTAGTCTAGGGTGCTCCCTAGACTTATTGATTGATAAAAATGATATCAGTGGATGTGTCCACAATGTTTTAATTGATAAAAAATGCTAAGTTATGCATGGTGTTCCCACAACGTTAAAAATGCTAAATTAATTGATATTCTCGGTCTCCACAGTTTTAATTGATAAAAATGCTCAATTAATGAATATGATATTTGTGTAACACAATAACATTCTCTTTCTCAAATGATACTTAATACAAGAAATGATAGTTGACTCGTATGATACAGCTAACAAAAATGATACCAGTGGATGTCTCCACAATGTTTTAATTGATACTTAACAAAGCTATATTAATTGATTTGTATCGTAGAATGTCTGCTACAAGTTACGATTGATAAAAAATAGAATTGGTTGATAGCAAGTCTCCTTAATGCTACAAAATGATATAAATGATATCAGTGGATGTCTCCACAGTGCTATAATTGATACTTATATGTTAAATTCATTGATTTGTAATGTAGATTGTTTGCTAATTGTTTGTAAGTTACAATTGATAAAAATTATAAAAAAAAATATATTATAAATAAAGGATGTCTCCTCAATGATACAGATGATATCAGTGGTTGTCTCCACATTGGTTTAATTGATACTTAAATATTAAATTTAATCAATGATATGATATATGCTTGCTCATATTAACAATACTCTAGTCCTAAGAAGATACCTAAATCAAGAAATGATAATTGAGTCGAATGATATTGCCGTTCTGCTAATGCTAGGTTCTCAAACCTTGTTATGTTCCGCGATGCTGCTTCCTGTGCAAGTTGACGAAGTTGTTGCGGCTTGATTTTACCAGCGATGTAGACGGTATTGATACTGATATGGATGCTGCTTCTTAAATGACCCGAACGCACCGAATGATGATAATGTTGTTCCTGCTGACTTACTACACCTTCTGTAATGTATTGCAATGACTTGCGCTCCATGTCGTGTCTTCGCAGAGTCATCGAGTGCCCTTCCTTCCTGATATTTCTCGACGTTAGTGTAAAACCATGTTTGTACGTGATAAGGATGCTAAGCTGCTATAAAACAGCTTTCTTTTATCTATATGCATCACAGTGTATGCGCCTTCTCAATTCAGCCGGTGAGACCCGCTTGTGGGAGGTCGGGTGAATCGATTCGCTACTGTCAAAAATATTGCTTGATAAAAATAATATATTATGATAAGTACCTTAGTGTTGTCGATATCCATGGCCAGTTAACAGGAACAATCACTGTCGCGAATTGATCCGCTTTTCCAAGCTCGGAGGACCGTATATGTTGATTAGTTCAATATGTTGATAGCTCGAAGGACCAAACTGTAGGGGTGACCCCTTACATAATGATATTAGGATAAAGGAAGAAAGACAACTGTTACTGTTGAATGCATGATGAGCATTGATTTATTATACAAAGATATGTTTTTATATAGTTAATACAATGACGTATTATGATGCATTTCTTAGATACAGCTACGTGATTAAAGTAAGTTATGCTTGCTCTGCAGATATACAAGATTACTGTACGTGACTCGTATAACTACCTTACTATAAAAATGTTATCCACTTATACCTAACATAAGTAACACTATTTGTATTTTATACTGTATGACACAGCAATCAAAATGACAGTAACGATATTGAATTTGAAATAATGTATCCAATTAATTTTATAAGTGGCGACATGATTTTATGTGAATGTTGCTAGGTACTTCTGTTAGATGCTGATGAGTTTCTAATGCCCAATTTCCTCATCAGCTAATAGATGTCAGGGGGTTGTAGAAAAAATATCGGATAATTCAAAAGAGCTGTAATAAGTCAATTTATTTAAAGTATAAAGTAGGTATAATTTTAATTTAATTTGTGTGCCTGAGTATCCAGACTTTTTGACAATGTGACGATTTTCTAAATAGACGTTCTGCTATAAAGCCTATTTGAGAATTGGACATTTTGCTACATGAACATTTTGTTAATTAGATTATCTGCGCATTAGACGTTTCGTGCTGTTGAACGTATTGCTACTTAGACCTTCTGATCGTGAAGTACGAGAACTAAGAATCAGTACACATTTGACAATGACATTTCGTACTCGCAAACGATACGAATTCGATATTGGTTCGTTCTAGGGTTACTGTTCCTTGCAAGTGTTACTTCTGGGGCACAGGCCTTTCCTATGGATGAAGTAGGGAAATTAGGCCACGACTTACCACCAAGTGCGGATTGGTGGGTGCTAACGATTGCAGATGCAGACAGAATCAACGACTTAACGTGCCTTGCGAATCACGGAGGAGCTTGACATAATAAGTTTTTGGTCACCCATCCAATGACAGACCATTGAAAAAGTTGTTTAACTTTCACGATCGCAGACCTGCAAATACAAATAGGATCTGCTATATTCAATGTTGCACATCTGCTAAAAAAATTGCATTGACGTCACTCAATAGTTCTATAGCAAGTCAGCACCAGAGGCGCTAATATTAATTCGACTATATTATTTGTGGCATAGATACGTAAACGCGTGAATGCGGTAATAATATAATATTTTTTGCAGATAACTGAATAAATAAGAAAAAATAGTTAAACTCGTGCTCACTTCACACTGCCATCTAGTGAAAGAAATCATAACTTATTGGTAAACGTTAGATGTCTCTACAACCAGCTCGTTTTTATTTTCCCTACTCGCTACGAGTGTTTATAATGGCGTTGTTGTCGTCTCGTAATGCTCCCCGCTTTGGAGATTCACTTTTTTTTATATAAATAAATATTTCCAACTCTCACACCAATTAGTTTACCCCAAAAGTAAGCACTGTAAAGCTTGTGTTATGGGATATTGGGGTAAGGGATGGAATACATATACAGTACATATATAAGTTTATTTATATAGAAAATACATAATAAATATCCATGACTGGGTACAAATGCTCGTATTTATCGCACCAACATCTGCCCCCACCGGGATTCGAACCCAGGACCTCTCGAGTCGGCGACAGCATGAAACCCGGCGTACAGACCACTCGGCTACAGAGGTCGTCAAAATTGATTTCTTAAAGCAATCCCCTATAGAACATCTCTTCTTAAAATTGTAATAGGTGTATCTTAAGAAATTCATTTTTACACTCCATTCCACTTGATCAGTTGGTCAGGAAACAGGCAATTTGGTGCAATAGAACACCTTTGGCCGTTTAATTAAACTTGTTTACATATTGTCAATTTTTACTTCTGTCACTCCTTTAATAAATATGTCTATATATCTCTCCACTGTATCTTTTTCAGCTAAAAATAATTATTTAAGAAAATGTTACAAGTTATTCACGCGTTTACGTATCTACTGAACTGAGTCGAACTGATATCAGCGCTTTTGGTGCTGTGTGGTACTGATGAACACGAGTGACGTCAGTGTAACATTGGTAGAACTGTGCAACATTGACGCCCGGTTTCTGAAAGTTTTGTTAAACATAACTCTAGTAACGTGTCTGTCAGTTTAACAGCAGTGTAAAATAAATATGAGTTTCTGAAATGAAGGTTAGCGAATAATTCTAGGAACACCAATAGCCCTTGTTATAACCACTTTTGAATCTGACAGCTCTGTCAACTGACATAGTGATTAGTTAATAAAGGATTCAGTAACTCAATCAACAGTAAGCATTAGATTTGATGGCTCTTTAGTTAATATAATCGCTTAACAGCCTTTCAGAAACCGAGTGTGACCACGACGTCTGCTCCGCTTTATATTTTCTCCGTATTTTATCTTATTTCATTATTGACTCCAATTTCGTGTTTTAGTTGAAGAACTCATCATACTCGACGATAACGGCGCTGCAGTCGCAGTTGAACGGTTTGCGCGTGCAGCAGCAACAAATGCAAGCGGCGGAAGAACGCGAACAATCCCTGAGAGATGCGCACGCGCACGAACGAGACCTCAGGCGGGAGATTGCGCGCACGCAGAGGGCGGGCAGTGCGCATCAATGGAATTGACAAACTAGTACAAGTTACAAGTCTCACAGTCCGTTTTTGCCAAAAACCCCTATATAATACATATCTACAGACAAAAGCCCAAAAGTTTGAAAAAATACTCCAATTTTCACTAACAATGTCTGATGATTTGTGATATTTTTATTTTACGTGAAAAAATTTTACTAAAAAAAGACATATGTACAATCAAATTGAGAACCTCCTTCGTTTTGAAATTGATCATAAAGTATTTTTTTGTCGTTATGTATCGAGCATGATAAAAACACGATATAGGTATCATAACGCAGTGTTGGATATTTTGTAGCTATAAAACGAGCGCGATAGAAACACTTATATAGGTATCATGCTAGATAGGCTGATGGTCGTGTCGTCGTACTCCACGATAACAGCGCTGCAGTCGCAGTGAGGGCTACCGTTTTCTGACTCACCAGATGGCGCCACTGTTGAGTGAGGTCCTGAATTGTAACTTTTAAAGTTAATGAATACGCGCATGAAATCAAATAATCAATTTATATCATATTTTAATACAAAAGAACCGTATCTTAAACATAATCGGCCATGCCGCAGTTCCGTTTTGTTCGGAAAAAAGGACGACATTCATTACCAGGTAACTCATATTTGCCATAATTAAATCGAGTTATTACCAAATGTTCACAACATTATTTTTATTAGAAATAAACCGGCGTAGTCAACACACAAGCAAATACATTTGAGATTTCGGAGAGCTCACGCTACACTAGCGCCTCTAGCAGCGGATTCATACGCGATAGCCCTCATTGAACGATCGATTCGCGGTGCAGCAGCGACTACAAGCGGCGCAAGAACACGAACAATCTCTTAGAGATGGCGCACGAACGAGACCTGAGGCGGGAGATTGCGCGCACGCAGAGGGCGATTCACAAGTTTCATAGCCCTTTTTTGCAAAAAAAACCCTAATTTGTAAGCATAGTCATAGAGAATGGGACTGAGTCAAATTTACCGCTCTCTAAAAAGAGACAAATACAACCAATATATGAATGAACTATGGGCTGATTCATCGCTTCGTTTCTTACAGTTCTATAGGGTTTTTCTTCACTTTCATCTCTTAAGGGAACGCGTTTTCACCAACAATCCCTAAAGTATTATATTTGTATTGTAAGATGAAATTGCTTTACTTTGTAAACGTGAAGAAAAGTTTACTAGATAAAAAAATATACAGTCAAATTGAGAATTTCAATTTTACTTACTAAGTGCCCAATGAATTAAAAAAAATACTGAAAATGATATTTTTTAGGTAATAAGTGCATAACTAGTTAAATCAAAATTATACAAATAGTTAAATGTTTCAATAATAAAGAAGGGTATGAAATTCTTAGCAACCAATTTAATTGTACAGATAGCCACAAGTCTAATTACCCGAAACTGTCAAATTCCATTAAGTGACTTTGAGCTCTATACTGTTTGTTATAAGATTCGCAGTTTATTTATTATATTTACAGTTACAATGGTAATTTCATGTTTTGCCCCAGGCTAGGGCTGTCTGTACCGATTTTGCATTACAAGCTAAAGTGAGTTTTTTTAGTATAAGCAAAAGTAAAAAAAAAACCAAAGCTTATTTAAGAATATATTTTTAGAGAAACATTGTTTTATAATTGGTTTAGATATTGGTTAGACAAGGTTAAAAATATATCGTAGTTTTTTCTATTAATAAAGTACTGATACTGATACAAAAATGTATAAAAAAAGAGGAACTGTCGGTTCAACAGTAAATTTACTCTTGCCAATGGCCACTTTTTTTATTTAATAGATATAACGTCACTTCCTCTTTTTTATTTAATAGATATGACGTTTTATTTGTAATAAATTTTGTAATAAAGCAGATTAAGAGCAACTGCACATTGAGCCAACAGTCGCGGCCACTAAACGCGACAACTAGTGGCTCAGTCAAGCCACCAGACGTATCCACCAATCGAGTCCGCTAGTGGCTTAGTGGCAGCCAGTAAAAGCGTTTATATATTTTTGTTCATCAGAAAGTGCATTTTTTTAAAGCAACCTTTATTGAATTAAAATATATCTAAAGTATAAATAGCATAATAAATAATAGCATATAGCATATAATAGCATTCGAAATTTTAAATATAATGACAAAGCGAAGGGAGTGTGGTGGTTTCTACGAATTGTGGTGCTGGTGGCGATGACGTCACGCCTATCTAGTGCCATCTCTTGTTTGTTATCAGTCTTTTACCCCTTTAAGACATCAAAAAGGTTTTTAACATTTAATTTCAAATAGATAAAAAATGAGTTTATGGAGTATATGTCACGTAATCTTCTATCGAAAGAATTAAAAGGTTGAGACTGATATGAAAGTTGAATTTTTGTGCTGTATTTTTTCTTACTATACTTATAACATAACTTAACAACCTTAAGTAAAAAGTAATTGTCTTTAAATTATTCGATTAAATTTGTGATGATTTGCATTAGTCATTAAAATAAACATGTAATAACAATAGGCTATTTGACAGTATAAAAAATAAAACACCAACTGTTGGCATTTGTATTTAATATGAATTTAAGCAAGCGATTTTACTATTCTCTGAGAACAAATAATTAGTAACTTTCCTAAATAATTATCAAATATAGGTATCAATTCTGACATGATTCTCTAAACCTAAACTTAAATTTGACAACAGTGTATCCTTGTTATTCTCTATACAGCATGAAAAGGAGAGACTGATGTTAAATTTAGATTTAAGTTTAGAGAATCACGCCAGAATTGGCACCATAAACAATTTTTTGGTGATCGGTCACAGAAAATGTTTAATTAGTTTTATTATTGAAATACACAACAGAATTATGAATATCCATTCCAATGATGTTAACGTTGGTAAATAATGTGAGATCGTTTTCTAAAACTTGTCAAATACTCTATAATATTGATAAATATATTTGTCACATAATCCTGTCTACAAGACTAAATTTTATGAAAGAATTGCGTATATTAAAGTGTGCCTTGCTCTAGAGATAATTTAGGTTGTAAATAAAGAACCTACATATTTTTTAATGGAAAGACAGTTTTATTTAATAGTGTTATCTCTTACGGCTAGTTTCAATAAGGGACCTCCAGTAAAAGGTAAGATTAAACCGGTTAAGTTTCTTTGCAACAGTTGTTATTATAATCTTAATAATAAAAATATCTAGGCAATAAAGCACGAACAGACCTATCGTTGACTGGAGTTTGAGTATTAACACTGGGACGTTAAGGTTAAGTTCATATACTTATATTTTTTTTAATGTTTAATAGGCAAGGCGTTTGACCACAATCTCGCCTGATGGAAAGCGATGATGAGGCCTAGGATGGTACACGCCTGACTGAAGAACTCTGGCCTTGAAGATGTCTAGATTATATTGGTCCGGGAAAACAGACCTCGGTAAGGAGTTCCACTCCCTAGCCGTTCGCATAATGCATGCGGAAGCAAATCGCTTCGTGCGAATGGGAGGAACTTCGACAACATAAGGCTGAAAGCCCTCGCCGCGCCTGGTTGTCCGGTGGTGGAAAGGCTTCCCCTTCGAGGGGGAACAAATTATGTAATTTTTTCTCTCTGCACACCGAAATGTAACTGAAAAAACACCGAGAGGCAAGTCTTCGGTGGTCAGGCTCTGGGGATTAGCCTCAACGAGAACTTCATTGCCCATGAGTCTCTTCACATGGTGTTCCACCGAGTCCAGTGCATCAAGCTGATACCGAGCAAATCCATCCCAAAGGTGACAACAGTACTCCAAGCAGGAGCGAACTTGGGCTCGGTTAAGGCTGCTCATATGATCGCACAGAGCCGCGCGTCACCGCATGGTTAGGGCATTCACATGACAGCGTAGCTACGCCTTTCAGCCTCGCGTTGGCGCGCGGTACCGCGCAGTTATGTAGACGATGATGTCGATTTTAGCATGATTATCTAAACTTAAAACTAAGATCAGTCTCTCCTTTTCATTTTGTATGGAAAATGACAAGGACACACTGTTGTCAAATTTAAGTTTAGGTTTAGAGAATCATGCCAATCGACACCGATATCTATTTGCTTTGATCTTATATCGCGCGCTATAAGTACTTAGCGTAATTAATATCCTCTATTTCCGTCATTTCCTTTTACATAAATTTATAATTGCCATCACATTTCAACGACCGTAAGTTTTAAAAGTTTCTTTAGATTTAAAGACCTAACAGTTAAATGCTTAAAAAATATAACTAAAATTGTTATTTCTTCTTTCAAATGTTTAATATGTACTTGTAAAGGTATTTATTTGACATTGTGGGTTATAATTTTTATTATTTTTAAAGCATGTAACTGCTTGATGTTTAAATCTAAAGAAAATATAACTAGAAAAAATTCCACGCGGACCAGGCAGCAGACGGGACTCGAACCCGCACCCTTCGCAATCCGGGCGCATGCACTGACCAATTATGCTACCGCGGCCCTCACGGATCGCGTCGAAATTCTTTCTAGCTATTCTTAAGCTGCAAGGCAGCGCCATCTCTTCGCATTATAGGTAAACCCACAATGTCAAATGAATACTTTTACAAGTATTAAACATTTGAAAGAAGAAATAGCAATTATAGTTATAATTTTTATTATTTTTAAAGCATGTAACTGCTTGATGTTTAAATCTAAAGAAAATATAACTAGAAAAAATTCCACGCGGTCCAGGCAGCAGACGGGACTCGAACCCGCACCCTTCGCAATGTGGGTTACCTATAATGTGATGAGATGGCGCTGTCTTGCTACCTAAGAAATACTAGAGAATATTCGGCACGGACAATTAGGGTCGTGGTAACATCATGGTCAGTGCATCCGCCCGGATATTGGAGGGTGTGGCTTCAAGCCCCGTCTGCTGCCTGGTCTGAGTTGAATTTTATCTACTAGTAAAGTTTTCTTTAGATTAAAACATTTAGCAGTTATATGCTTAAAAAATGAAAATAATATAACTATAACTACAATTGTTATTTTGTCTTTTAACTAACTAAAGTAGTTTTTAAAGTTTTTCGTTCGATAGGTAGGTAGGTTACCTTCGTCAATCATTATCAACAGCCTATTCTAGTCCACTGCTGGACATGGCCTTGCAGCCTAAAAATACTAGAACGAATTCGACACGGCCATTGGTCCGCATGGATATTTTTCTTGTAAAATTTTCTTTAGATCCTAACTACTTATATTGTAAATGTGAAAGTTTGTAAAAAATATTAGCTTCCTGAGGGATTCTCAGAAAACTAAAGTTAACGCGGACGAAGTCGCAAGGCCGCTAGTTATTAAAATAAAAACTATTAAAACTCACGCAAATTACAAAATGATACGAAATTTCAATAGATAACATCCTGTATTATAATGATTTCTTTTCTGTATTTAAAATAAGATTTAGAACGTAAAGCAATAAATAAAATATTTAGATTCCAAAATTCCAGAGCTATAAAAATATGATTTTTACTTTTTCTTGTCAAACTCAGGTGAACAAATTGGCACTATGTTTTAACGGCATTTGTTATTGTAGACATGCTGCCCTAACATACCTCGTTGGTACCGATATATCTTTTTCTTTAGTGTCATCTGCTCGGCTTTTAGCGAACTATTGATACAGTGAACGCATGCTTTATGAAACGACGTGGTAGTTTCAATAATGTATTGTAGATGGCGTTACTAGTATTCGGTATATATAATGCTTATCGCCATCACACTATTATAGTTGGTTTCACAATTGGTGGTAATTGGATTTAGCAATAGCCGGTCATTGGGTCATCATCATCATCATCATTAGCCTATTAATATCTCCACTACTGGGGCACTGACCTTTCCTATGGATGAAAAAGGAGATAAATTATATGTAGTCCGTTAAACATTACTATTAGACGTGCGACGAATAGTATATTCGGCAGTATACCGAATATTCGGCGAGGCCCCTGACCGAATAGCCTAATATAAGGCAAAAGTATTCGCGCCAAAAACTTGTACAGACGTGATTGTTTCGCACTCCTTTGTTTTGTGCTAATCTGCCGTCCTCAAGCTAAAATGTGGCTAAATGACAAAACCAACTTTTGAGATATGGCCAAAAACGGCGCGTAAAATATTTGCTATTATGTAACCATTCATCACATGACTGAATGAATTAAAAACTGTTAACTTGATTAATACAGAAAATTATTAAATTATGTACCTGTTTTATGTACCAATGACT